TTGCTTCGCAGAGATAGAGCACAGTGCAGGCTCCGTGTTGACATAGGAGCCATGGCAGAGCCTTAGTTCTCCTGGGGGGAAGGGGTTGACAGGCCCCTGAACCCCCCTGTTCTGGACTTAGTCTGCTCCCTTCATGCTTCCCCCAGCCAAGACTGACTCAGCTCCCAGCAACTGGTCCCTTAGCTCCTTGCTTTGCTCAATAGCCTCCACCTAGCCTAGGTGTCAGGCGGCTGGGTCCCTGCCTACATGCCCCCCCTCAGGGACCATCCCCCACTGGGCACTGCACACGGACACACCTAGGCTATGTCTACACTGGCGCGATCTTGCGCCAGAGCTATGCAAATGAGCCTAAGCGTGGAATATCGCCGAGCCTCGTTTGCAAATCTAATGAGCCGCCAATGGCGGCTCATTAGACATGCAAACGAGGCTCGGCGATATTCCACGCTTAGCCTCATTTGCATGGCTCTGGCGCAACATCGCTCCAGTGTAGACATAGCCATAGAGTCTCTGCAGACCAGCATAGGGCAGTAGGGGTCACACTCAGCACAACACAGCAACCAGGGACTGCAAAACCAGAGTGGATGCAGGGCTACAAGAGTGGACAGCACCCACTACATCACAGCACACACGGGAAGAGAGCCCTCCCCATACATCCCTGAGCAGCGCGGCTGAAAAACGACAGGGCGGGACGTCGGTGTTCCCTCAGGTGCATTAGGAGGCGCATGGCCAGCAGATCTACAGAAGTGATTATTCTCCTTTTTTCGGCGCTGGGGAGGCCACATCTGGAGTGTGGCAGTGTGACGGGGCGAACAGGCCCCGCACTGCAGGGCTGGGAGTAGCCCAGGCCCAGCTGGCTGAGAGGGCCCCGCCCTTCCGGCCCTGCTGGGCATGCTCCCAGCAGAGGCCAGGTATAAAGGCAGAGGGAGCCCAGCAGGCAGGAGGACAGCTGGGGGAGGGAGGAGACCAAGCCAGGCTGGTGTTTTTGCAGCTGCTGGGACCAGAGCCGTGGCTTGGGCTGGACCCTGACACCAAGGAAGCAGACCCCGACCCCAGGAGACCGGAACGTACTCACAACCCCAGCAGGTCCTGCCTCAGAGGCCAATGGGCCCCCGGGGAACCGGGGCATGGCAGGAA